GATTAATTCCCAAAAAGCGGTTAATCTCCAAAAGAAAACCACAAGATCACTCGTTTCGATAGCAACGGTTAGGATGAAGCTAAGGAATAACGAATGCTGCTGAAATCATGTAAATTGCTAGAGCTTTAGGATCCAATTCCGATAGAATACTATTGTTTTGGATTCTCTTCATTCCCAAATGTTCTCTACAGTTGATCCATTCTTGAACTTCAAAACCACTCACCAGGAAAAGAGCGGCTTGTCGCATTGATCGTCGATCGGCGCTCCCAAAGCGGCGTCTCGTTGGCGTCAACAAGGAGGGTCGAATCATCGTCAAACATTCTAAAAAAGGTAATGCATTGTTTCATTGACAAAAAGGCATTGATACCAAGCTGCTACTTGAAACTAAAGAGTCAAATCAAGAAACCAAGTGAGAAAAAGGTAATGGTGTATCAACCAGAAAGAAATTTAAAAACTAGCAAGATTTCTATGAGTGCGTAAGTGTGAGCAATTTTTAAATTTTTAACTTTAATTTTTTTAGTTATTTTAGAGAGGCTAAAATAGGCCTTTCCCCCGCCGCAAGTCAGTATTTCGATTTTTCAGACCTTAACCCGTATCTGGTTTTACGTTAGAATTAGTCTGATTTTTTTTAATGAGCGAATTTTGAGTTTTTAGCAATTTTGACACAACAACAAAAGCGCTTGTTTTGGATTTTTTTTGCTCAACTCGGAAAACAATAAAAAAGGAGACTCTTCTTCAGGAAGACAAAACAGTTTTTTTGCCTAACTAACTATGTTTCTAAATAGTTGCATAAAATGCTTTTGACTTTATTGAACATCGAAGCATTTCGTTTTTATAGCTTAAATGTAGCTAAAACAATTGCTGCGCAAAGGCCTATTTTAGCCTCTCTAAAAATAACTAAAAAATTAAAGTTTGGGTATAAATCGAAAATCTGTTTTAACTGTTATAAAATAGGGGTTTATAGCTAGTATAAAATAAATACAATGGTGGAAAAAAGTATTGCCCCCCCTTGCATTATTCTAGTCTTAAAGTTGTGATACTGTAGCTCTACACCATATAAACAAGTCAAGACTTGGCAAACCCAAGTGATAAACCCAAGAGCCAAGAGCATTGAACTTAAGCAAGTACTCGGCTCACTTCAGCTTTTTTCTCTGATCCGTTTACTCAAGATACAAAATGTTCGGCATTCAATCCTTGACTTTGGAACAGGTAAATTGTATTTTTACCGTGGCATCTAGACTAAACACTCTTTAGGTGGTGGCCTTTTTGAAGAAGAAAGTCAGCGAAAATCTCCTTTCGATCAACAATGGATTCTATCGAGTGGTGAAAGAAACATAATTATGATTCGGGTTATTTTGCACGTGTGTAAATCTATGCCTCTATATTTTATGTCATGTTTGAACGTTTACGGGTTTGATTTTTGTAGATTTTGTAGATTTGTGATTGTAATAAAAATTTTAGCTTCAGGGAGGAAAGCTTGAGAAAGAACACTGAAAATCATCTGAAATCGCTTTCTAAAAGGCAAAGGCTTTAGAAAAATATCGTGATCCTCACCGGCGTCACGTGAAATTTTCAGATCAATTGGATCAAAATCAAAAACATCATCAAAATCTACATGTTAGCCAACCAGATCTTTGAGGGTCCAACAAAATTCACCCCGAATTTATCTAATGACCTCATCGAAATGTTGAATTTGAGACACGGATATTTGCTGATCGGTCTTTTTTTCCATATTTGGATAAGAAGAGATTATTTGAAACATGATTTGGGATTAGTCTGACTAGAATTGAAAAACATTGAAAGAGGACCAAGAGTGATCTTGATGGGGCCATATTTGTACAGCTTTCACGCATCATATGAGACCAGTCTAGAGAGCTGTATTTGGATACAAACCATCCGGATGACCTGGGGTATATAAGAATTTCGTTGGCTGACACTCATCACTTCTTATAGCTCCCGCAGCCATGCTCCGAGCCTCACTCATCCTCTTGTCGCTTCTCGTCGGCGCGTCGCTTGGCGCCGACTATGTCAGGGCGTGCTACTTCACCAACTGGGCAAAGTATCGGTGAGTACTCTTCGTGGATCAGACTAATAGAGTCAGAGCTAGGCTAACTCAAGCCTGTCTTCTACCAGATCAAAATAGAAACGGACCTGTATGGGGCACTCGTAATTCTTTCAGCTATTTTCGTATCTTGTACGCTATTTTTTCTTCCAGGCAAGGTCGAGCTCAATACAACGTGACTCGCGACTACATGCCCGGTCTCTGCACTCACATTCTCTACGCTTTCGGCTGGATGAGCAACACTTTCCAGGCAATGTAAGAGTTGCGAAGTTCAACAAATCATACAAACAAATCAAAAATTGAGCTAATCAGAACAGCTCAAAACCAATCATAAAATGCTGTGAAATTGAACAATCTCGCTTCCAGCAACAACGATCCCACCGACTTGCCAACTAGCTGGGCCCCGGTCGGGCAATATGCGCAAGTGAACGCACTGAAATCCGTGGACACGAATCTGAAAACCCTGCTTTCATTTGGTGGTGCCAGTTTCCCGTTGTGGCTCCTACAGGTGTGTTAGAAAAAAGTTGAGAAGTGCATTCTCAAAAAAAACTTCGGTTTTTGACAAAATCCTCTTTCAGCAAATGGCCTCCACTTCAGCCAATCGTCAGACTTTCATTCAATCGGCTATCTCGTGGGTTCGGCAAAATGGTTTTGATGGGATTGATATCGATTGGGAAGTGCCACAATTGTCCGACAAGGCTAACTATGCGGCTTTTGTTACGGTGAGTTGAGAAAAAGTTATACTTGCCGTACTACCAATGTTTTAAATCCAGGGTATTTAAAAGTAAGACTTTTATAAATCAAAGTACATTTCCAGGAGTTGAAAGCGGCGGTGACGGCCGAGGCTCAACAAAGCGGAAAAGCGCGTTTGTTAGTGACAGCGGCGGTAGCAGCGGGAAGCTCGAATATGGTCGGATATGATATGACGACGATGGGAAAGTGAGGGGTTTACCGTAAACCAAATAAACAAGGGAATTTGTTGATCTGAAAAACGGGTCACTTCAGCGCTCTCGACTACGTCTTCTTGATGAGCTACGACTTTTGGGGCGCCTGGTCAAATCAACTCGGAATGAACGCCCCATTGTACCCGGCAAGCACGCAAACGTCGCCCAACAATCAGTACAATGTGGTGAGTGCTAGAAATGGCTATTGGAGTCTTCAGTAATCTAGTATTGTATCTAGGGAGTCTAATCGAAATTACATACTGTAACTGATTCAAAAAAAAACAGTAACCATATCACTAGTTTGTATCTCAGAGTTCAACAAAAATTCAATTATGATCAAAGTTCAAAAGATACAGTAATCACTAGGTCTAAAAGATGCGTACTGTAGCCTAAGACTTACTATAACTAGCTTTAACCTACCTAGCTTTAACCTACCTAGCTTTAACCTGCCTAGCTTTAACCTGTTCGAAACTCCAACTCTTCAGCAATGGGCCGCAAACGCTTGGGTGACGGGTGGTATCCCGAAATCGAAGCTCGTCATCGGTATGCCAGCTTATGGAAGAGGATGGACATTAGCGGTAGAGTAATAACGTGATCCAATTGAAGGACAACTTTTAGAATGCACAGAGCATCCAACTAGGCGCCAGTGGAAATAACCCAGCGCCCGCTCAACCGTTCACCCAAGAAGCCGGGATTGGAGCCTACTTTGAGGTCTGGACTTTAACTTAAATCTGCTTAAAGATCACATACACTTTAGGTGTGCAATCTCTTGGCAGCGCCTGGAGCTCAACGGTACTTCCAAAGCCAGATGGATGTCCCGTATTTGGTGTCCGGTGGACAGTGGTGGTCGTACGATGATGTGGAATCGTTTAACGACAAGGTTGGCTAGGATTCATTGATCATTGAACTTCAATTGTTAGTACTGATGCAATTTTAGGAAGTACTAGTAGCTCATTGTGCTGTTTGGTAGCCTTTGGGGTTGACTTTGAATTGGAAACGCACCCTTTCTGGTACACTCTTATCTAAACTTTCACTCTTCAGCTCAACTACATCAAAACGAATGCTTTTGCCGGAGCAATGGTTTGGGCGTTGGATCAAGATGATTTCAATGCACAATGTCCGGGAGCTAATGGCGTCTACTATCCATTGATCGGCACAATTGCGCAGAGTCTAGCTGGAATCAACATCAAAGTCAGTGTAAAACGGATACAACAGTACTGTATCCAAAGCTTTTCAGGGACACAATGGGCCAGTTCAACCAGTTCAACCAGTTCAATCAGTTCAATCAGCCTCATCCACCAAAGCATCAGTTGTCTCGACGAAATCCCCATTCAAGACTCAACCACCAGCAGCAGTCACCACTCAAAAAGCGTCACAACCATCAACTGGTGAATAGACTTAAAGCTTAAAGCAAATAAAACAGCTTTCTGTAGTTCTCCAAAGCAAATAAAACAGCTTTCTGTAGTTCTCCAAAGCTATATCCTCTGAAATCTAAAGATCATTCAGGTTTCTCATGCACGGGCGTGGTTGATGGCTTCTACGCGGATCCATCGAGTTGTGCTTCGTACATTTGGTGTCTCCAGGGTGTCCCAAATCGTTTCACTTGTCAGCCCGGTCTCCTCTACGATTCGTCGTTGAAATCGTGCAATTGGGCCGCGCAAGTGACGTGCTGATTTTGGGATTTGATTGTTTGTAAATACAGAATGGAAATGTGCGAATGAAGAGTTTTGAGTAATGTGTTAGAACAAAGAAAACATGAGCTTTTCCACTAAACACAAAATTGTCTAGTACACGCAAAGAAGTAATATTTATTTGAATTGTTAAAAGTTACCCAAGTACAAGAAGATTTGCGAACAATTGAAATGAAACAAATTTCACTAAAACACTTTCAAAAATAACACTTTACAGTACTGTCAGCTAATAAAATAGATTAAAAATCAAATCAAATCAAATCAAATCAAATCAAACTTTGAATTTGTTCAAAGATAACTTTAAAAACAAAAATTCAATCCAAAAAGAGTCACATTTTGTGAATCACGAATCAATGGCGGAATGGTAATCGAGAACTCGTTTGAATTAAAGCGATGCTTTAAACGAAAGAGAATCGATAACTTCTCATCTCTCGTTGTTTTCATTGAGCAATGAGCCTCGATGAAACCGAACTAAACAAAGGAAAACATAATTGGAACGGTACAATGCAATCTACTGAAAGGTAACTGAAGTTAGTTAAGTTTTAAGCAAATAAAACAGCTTTCTGTAGTTCTCTAAAGCTATATCTTCTCCAAAGCTATATCTTCTCCAAAGCTATATCTTCTCCAAAGCTATATCTTCTCCAAAGCTATATCTTCTCCAAAGCTATATCTTCTCCAAAGCTATATCTTCTCCAAAGCTATATCTTCTCCAAAGCTATATCTTCTCCAAAGCTATATCTTCTCCAAAGCTATATCTTCTCCAAAGCTATATCTTCTCCAAAGCTATACCGTCTCCAAAGCTATATCCTCTCCAAACCAACCGTATATTTGACTTTTCTCTTCATATCTTCTTCATATTTCGATAGACTTCTCCGGCCAAGAATCGCCAATTTTGGAAGGGAAAATATCTCAATTTTCGGCTCACACTTGAGAGATTTGAGATCAATACATTTTGCTTTATCAAAATGCTTCCGAATCAACGGCCGTACATCGGTAAGTGTCGGTTTTTCTAGGGAAAATAGATTCAAATATAGAAAAAAGCTCACTGATAAGCTGCTGAGAGATCTCAGGTTGGCAGAGACAAAACACTTCGACGACATTGTTCTCAAGACAGCTTCGCGTCGACGGGATTGGCTGAATCGTTTTAGAGTTTAAAAGCTAAGTGAAAAAGTTGTATTTTGTACTGTAACTGAAACTAGCTGCTTATCTGATTAGCTGCTTACCAAGAATAAGCTTGTCCCTCTTGCGTCATCCCGTCTCTTCCTCTTGTCACCAATTTTTCCCTCAATAAAGTCGAGTAGCATTTCGTGGACATCAAAATTACTGAAAAGTGGTAGATTTGGAAATTGATGAGTTATCTTATCAATTGATGAGCTATCTTATCAAATTTCTTTCTCGAATCAATCGCTCTTGTAAGATGAAGATGTAAGATGAGCTAGCTAAAGATCTAAACTGACGAAGTGAATCGATTACTGTTGTCGAGGAGTGTTTGGCTTTCTTCTGGGAAGAGTTCGCTGAAAAGTTGAAATTGAAAACCTTTCAGCTTGCCAAGATTACCGTAATCTCTTTGGCAAATAGATGGCCATCAGCGGGGTGCGTTCCTCGATTCGACCAGCGAACGTTTGTGTGGCGCTGAAATTTCTCTTCACTCAAGCTCAGCATATACTCAGCAAGTTTAGAACTGACCCATTCAGGCGTTGCCCGTGATCACCCATGATCAAAAGTACCGTATTCTCGAGGGCATCTGAAATGGGTTGAATGGTTGAATGTAAATCTTTTTTTGCAAGCTACTAACACAATCGATAGTGAGATTCCGATAGATTTTCGGGCACTTTAACCATTCAACTTTCAACTCAAGTTCAAAAAAAGACTTTAAAAACAAAACCAGCATTATCCAAAAGCTCTAATCGTTTCGCTAAGTATTCATCGATAACTTGAAGGTTGTTTGGATCGTCGTGCGTCATGCTGAAGTCAATTAATAGTCAATTCTTAAATCAAGAGTTCAAAAGTTCAAATACCTCGTGATAAAGTTGAAACCAAAAGCGTATCGATCCAGGCCAAGAATCGCCAATTTTTGAAGGGAGCAATATCTCAATTTTCGGCTCACACTTGAGTATTTGAGATCAATACATTTGTTTTATCAAAATGCTTCCGAATCAACGGCCGTACATCGGTAAGTGTCCGTTTTTCTAGGGAAAATAGATTCAAATATAGAAAAAGCTCACTGATAAGCTGCTGAGAGATCTCAGGTTGGCAGAGACAAAACACTTCGACGACATTGTTCTCAAGGCAGCTTCGCGTCGACGGATTGGCTGAATCGTTTTAGAGTTTAAAAGCTAAGGGAAAAAGTTGTATATTGTACTGTAACTAGTAACTGAAACCAGGCTTATCTGATTAGCTGCTTACCAAGAATAAGCTTTTCCCTCTTGCGTCATCCCGTCTCTTCCTCTTGTCACCAATTTTTCCCTCAATAAAGTCGAGTAGCATTTCGTGGACATCAAATTACTGAAAAGTGGTAGACTTGGAAATTGATGAGTTATCTTATCAATTGATGAGATTATCTTATCAATTGATAAGTTATCTTATCAAATTTCTTTCTCGGATCAATCGCTCTTGTAAGATGAGCTAGTTAAAGATCTAAACTGACGAAGTGAATCGATTACTGTTGTCGAGGAGTGTTTGGCTTTCTTCTGGGAAGAGTTCGCTGAAAAGTTGAAATTGAAGACCTTTCAGCTTGCCAAGATTACCGTAATCTCTTTGGCAAATAGATGGCCATCAGCGTGGGTGCGTTCCTCGATTCGACCAGCGAACGTTTGTGCGGCGCTGGGAATTTCTCTTCACTCAAGCTCGGCATATACTCAGCAAGTTTAGCACTCACCCATTCAGGCGTTGCCCGTGATCACCCATGATCAAAAGTACCGTATTCTCGAGGGCATCTGAAATGGGTTGAATGGTTGAATGATTGAATGTAAATCTTTTTTTTGCAAGCTACTAACTCAATCGATAGTGAGATTCCGATAGATTTTCGGGCACTTTAACCATTCAACTTTCAACTCAAGTTCAAAAAAAGACTTTAAAAACAAACCAGCATTATCCAAGAGCTCTAATCGTTTCGCTAAGTATTCATCGATAACTTGAAGGTTGTTTGGATCGTCGTGCGTCATGCTGAAGTCAATTAAGTCAATTAATAGTCAATTCTTAAATCAATTCTTAAATCAAGAGATTCAAAAGTTCAAATACCTCGTGATAAAGTTGAAACCAAAAGCGTATCGATCAGCAGTAAAGCGAGTGAAATGAAACCACGGATCGGCAAATTCTTCAGGCATTTGCCGACCCTCGTAACAGATTTTCCAGTGATTTTCAGTTTCCTGAATAAATGTTTAGCATTTTATGGTATTCAGCTAAATATTAGGTTGATGCAAAAGTCTTTTTCATTTTTTTCGTACTTCCGTTAAAAAGTAACAAATGCACGAATTGAACAACGGTTTATTGCATTCGAAAGGCCAATTATTTTTCTGCAAAATGACATTAAAACAAGTTTAAAATGTCTTATGTCTAGATTTTTTTTGAGAGCCTGAAGTCGGGTAGTCAAAAAAGGCGACGGCTCGATGATGCATTTTAAACGCTTTAGCTAAGGAAACCAATCTTGATGTTAATAAATAAAAGATAGAGCACAAAAAGTTAGATATTTTTTCAGATTTTCAGAGAAATTGATTCAGCCAATTTCTTTATAGAGGTTTTTATAGATTTTTATGAAAAACCCGTTTTCACTCTCGAATTTGCTTGAAAGTGAACCCAAATTGACTTAAAAAGATGGGAAATTCAACAATAAACACTTTTCATTTAGAGCAAACCATAGGTTAATTGATGACTTTGTTATTTTTCAAAAGAAGTACGAAAAAAATGAAAAAGACTTTTGCATCAACCTAATAAATCCCAGTTACCGTATAGAAATTCGTATAGAAAGGTCGATAATAGTGATCAGCTGGTGGACGAGAGAAGCCCGGCAAGAAGTATTTGGCCGGATAGTGGAGAATCCCGCGGCTTCGATGCATGATGTCATCGTTGAAGAGAGTCTCACAACCACGAGCTAAACATACAACTTATAAAATGAAGCCGGTGAAGTGAAAATCCGGTTTAATAGCTATCATCTAGCAAGTAGTATTTTAAAAATTGTCAGCCTTGAATCAGTTTTTTTCCTTTTACAAACCTTTCATCTCTTTCCAGATGAAATCAATCGTATCCGGATCGATCGACGCATTGATAGGCAAAATTTTTGCCAACTCAATCTGTCCATCTTTTGTCAAAAGTGGATAAGATTTCGTTACGGCAAGTTGATGAGCGATAATCGGTAAAAGATTCACGTTACTGTTGTCACCAACCTAGAATAAATTCCTCGACCTTTACAGCTTAAAAACTCAACAACAACAACAACAACAACAACAACAACAACAACAACAACAACAACAACAACAACAACAACAACAACAACAACAACAACAACAACAACAACAACAACAACAACAACAACAACAACAACAATCCAAACCTTATTGTATCCATTGAGAATAACAAATTCCATGTCATTCATTTTCTTCACCGTTTTCGGAGCATGTCGAAGGAATTGAGTTCTCGAGGTGCTGTCCAACACCAACATCGAGATCGATAAAGATGAGAGATCAAATTGTCGAGGATTTGGGAGAGGACGCTTGCCTGAATGATGATGAATGAGGATGATGATGATGATGATGAAGAAACGAGATTGTCTCCAATTTTGTCTCCAAATTTGCTGATTCATTGTTTGTATCTATTGCTTAAAGTGAAACTAGAGCACAAATCTCAACATCAATCATTTCACAAACCGGGCACAACTTTCCGCTGAACAGTCGTATCAGTGACTCCCATGAATTGTCGTCTGAATATCGTGCTCAGATTCGCGTTCCCATAACATGTAATCAAGAAATTGTCTGCATTCACCCAAACCAATCGTTTTTGGTAACTAGACGAATAGATTTAGAAACGAAATTTAGAATTTTGATGATCCTACCAAAAATCGTCCATTCTTCGTGAAACGAAGAGCTTTCGGGCGAAGCGCTCCACCCAACTCGCTCATATAACATTGCATCGAGTTTTTCGTGATCTCTTTTGACTGAAATTCGTTTTGATTGATGGATAAAGGTTAAAGGATTGATTGAGTGATTGATTGATGATTGATTGATTGATGGATTGATTGATTCATTGATTGATATGATTGATTGATCGATTGATTGATTCATTCATTGATTCATTCATTTATTCAGTAATTCATTAATTCAATCATTCATTCATTCAATCAATCAATCAATCATTCATTCATTCATTCAATCATTAATTCATTAATTCAATCATTCAATCATTCATTCAATCCCTCATTCATTCAATCAATCAATCAATCAATCAATCATTCATTCAATCATTGATTCATTCAATCAATCAATCAATCAATCCAATCATTCATTCAATCATTGATTCATTAATTCAATCATTCAATCATTCATTCAATCCCTCATTCATTCAATCATTTAATCAATCAATCAATCAATCAATCAATCAATCATTCATTCATTCAATCATTGATTCATTCAATCAATCAATCAATCAATCAATCAATCATTCATTCAATCATTCATTCATTTAATCGTTCATTTAAACCCTTTCGACTACAACAATAACACTACAACATCCAATAATAATCATAGAAATATCCCATCTTTCTAAAAAAACATTTCCATTCAAAAACCAAAAATTCTTTTTGAATTATCGACTTTAGGAGATTAGTCTGTTATAGGAGACTTTTGAATGAAAATCTCCTCTTCAAGACTGAGCCAGCTTTCCCGTTTTCTTCGCTTCGCTATGCCCAAATTTTTGAGATTAATTCCCCCAAATTCGTTAGTATTTTTAACAAATTCTACTTCCCGTCGAAACATCGTTTCACTCCAAAATACCAAAATTAGTTTAACTTTCCCATTCCACTCAACCTCGGCAAAGTAGAAATTGCCCATTTCATCCTTTGTCATCACTTCCAAATACGGATTCGGGCACGCTTTCTGCGTTTTGTTCAACTTTATGTACTTCTAGAAATTGAAATTCAATTATAGTACAATTTCGCCGAACTTTCAGACTCTCATCAGCCGATGAAATGGTAGGGAATTTGCAGGAATTCTCCAGCATATGAGTGGTTGAGGCGGGTTTTGGAGAGGAGATCGTTTTCACCTCAATCAACAAAAGTTTCCCGAGAATCTCTTGCTTTTTCCCCAGAATTTGTAGATTGTCGAGAGGAGACTCACGACAAGGAAAACTTTCTGAAAATCGATTGATTATTAGAATTTTGAAAAATACGGATTAGGGTTGAGCATGACCGTTCATTTGGGGGAAATTTTCAACGTACCCCGGCAAACTGAATTCTGATTTGTGAAAAGAATTTGGTATGCTAGATGGAGTGCGTTTTTTGAAAGGTATAACTCACCGCGACACTCGTGCAACTGCGGGTCAAACGCATTTGTGAGTTTACATTTAGAAATGGGGGAAATTCAAGAGGAGACAATTGAAGTTAAACTGTAAAAATTGAGATTTATTTCATTCTTAGATTCAATCAATTATTTGTAATGAGAAATGTGTTTAAAAACTGTAAAAAGCCATAATCGATGTTTCAAAATGGGATTTGAGATCGAGATTGATGATTTGGGCGAGAGTTTGGAAACAAGGGGAAGCTGGGGGATTTGGAGGAGGATTAATGGGCGGTTGGAGAGATCAATCGCAACTGAAAATCGAACTGAAAATGGGGTAAAAGGGTAGAATTATATCATGAAAATCATACTTTCATATGTTTTTATATGAAAAAAGCGAAATAGAGTCGTGCTCGTGTGAAAAGCGGAAAGTTAGTGCTTTTAAAGTCAAAAGTTAGTGCTTTTAAATTCATGTGGAGCATTTAAATTCATGTGAAGACATTTGAATCCCCTTTCTCATTCAAACCTCAGCATTCTCTAATATGATCATATTTTTTGGAAAGAGATTGTGTCTGGCAAATCGGATAATCCTTTTTCATATCATTCCATTAATCATTGTCAACTATTGTACTTCTCTTTTGCCTTGTTCTCAGCTGCTTTTTTAAGTAAAGCAATGGTTTAACGGGGTGTGAAATTTGTCGCAAAAATATACCCAATTTAAAGGCAAAAATTGCAAAAAGGAAAGCATCTTATACAAGAGCGGTTTGCCAGATTGCGAGCGATTATGCGCACCCACGAAGAACACCTCATCAGTCATTTACGTCAGTCCTTTGTAGATGGTAAAGATATTCAGCGGTAAATTCGTACCCAGAGATTTTCGGAATCGGGCAATCGATTGGAGGTATTCATTTTATTGAGTCTACCAATTTTACTCGGATTTAATTGGCCTAAACTTTTAGAGAGCTGCACCAGCATCACAACGTTCTTTTCTGTTCTGTATCGAGTGATGCCTCTAATTTTTTTCAAACTCTATTTCCCATCATAAATTCCATTTATTACCCTTTCCCAGTCTCTCTCCAAGTACAAGAGACAAGCTTTTAATGGGAAAGTGATAAGGAAAAAGTTATTGTCTTTTCCCGCTTTTTGCAATGCGTTTCTTGATCTTGGTTTTCCTCTTCACAGGTTATTGAATGAAATGTTTCGAGTGAATGAAAAACTTGAGGTTTTTGCGTGGCATTTTGCCCAAAAAACTCAGTGAACAACTCACAAGGGGATGGCTGTTTTTCCGTGCTCGAACTAGCGACAACGTATGCACGAGCGGAGGAGTACTGCGAGAGGTAGAATGCGGATAATCTTTGCCCAAATCAAAAATCTTAGAATCAATGTTCAGGCAAAGCTTGGCTTAACTTGGATCCAAGCTCAATTCCCCAATAATCCCCAATTGCAGTATCAACTCTTTCGCAGCCTCTGTCCACAACGCTTTCGACAATCAAATCCTTCTTGATCGAGCTCGATATGTTCTCGGGGTTCAATAGATCCAGATCTCCTTACCAAAGCGAGTTTTCAGGCCCAACTCCCAAGTGCGGACGCTTTCTGGCTTGGTGGCTACTACGATGGATCGACGATTCGTTGGGCTGACGGATCACCAGCGGACTACACAAATTTTATGACCGGTAGGTGGAGAGTTGGGGTTGTTTAAAGGCTGTAGGCTTGATCTGACCTGGCATTGCTGCAGACTTAGCCTTCAAGAAGTCTCTAAGTCTCTTGGTCTGGCAGACCCTGGCCTTGCCTTACTCCTTGCCTTGCCGGGCTTACAGCTCCTAGGTTCCAGTTTAAAAATCATAGGTGAAAAGGAAATCGAAAAGTTACCAGTCAAAATCTTGTAGGTGTCAACGGTTCTGGGAATATCGTAGCTCAGCTTCAGGACGGAAAATGGCGAGTCGCAGCGTGGAATGAGCAAAAGCCATTAGCGTGTGTCGGAAAATATGAGGTTAAGAATTGAAGAGACTTCAAATGGTCCTTGTCGTTTCTTAAATGCATTCAGAGTGTTCAATGCGATGCTCCATGTGATACAGAATGGTTCTACGCGAAACAGCTTAAAGCCTGTTACAAGGTTCGTTATCCAGTTCGAAAGTTCGAGCTATTCTTTGACTTTTGTAACACGTGATGTAAATGTTAGGTTGTGGGCAGCACAAACGGGATGACGTGGAACGAGGCGGACACGGCTTGTCGGAGTGCTGGCGGGATTCTCACCTCGATCACCTCGGACGAAGAGAATCGAATAGTGAATGGTTTGTGGGAAAGGGGATAATTAAAGAAGAAACTTTCAGAGATCGCCACCACCAACATGAAACTCGGGAAGGTGGAGTGGCAAACGTGGACAGGTGGAGTGAGGGTGCGTCTTCGTATATCACTATATAAAAGATCAGTGTCTGTCCGTCCGTCTGTACGGGCATGGCCGTGTTTTGATCAATAAAGCTTTCTTTAGAAAACCTTAGAATCCATTGTAGTTGTGGTGTTTGAAAGAAAAAGAATCCAAAAACAAACCGCAGTGGCACTACAGGGGATCGAACCTGGATCTTATGGGCTGTAGACAAGCGCGCTCCTGACTGCGTCAAGGCGACAAGTTGACCACCCAGAAAAATCAGGTATTAAGCGAGCGGGTTGCAAAATGTTAAAAAAAGCAAAAGCCTGAAATTACGATACTTTGACTGGAGTTTAGCGTGTGTTTTCCCTCAACTAAAGCGTAAACTTTTGAAAACTACTGTACTCTTTTGCTTTTATTCAATCCATTAACTTCTTCACCCGCTTTTCAGACGGGCCCGAATCCGCAGGATTGGCGTTGGATTGATGGAGCACCATTCAATTTCACCACGTGGGCCCTTGGTCAACCAGACGATGGTAAAGGGATTCAGAATTGTCTCCAGGTTTGTGAAAAAAATGAATCTAAGGCTCGCAAGTGCGTTTTGAGTGAATTTTTGAACATTCACCATTCAAGTATACTTGTTTTTTTGGATAATTTTTGAATTGCCTCAATTCTCAGGTCTACACATCGGTTTTCTCAGGTGAGTACAAGAATGACGCGGACTATTTGACGAAATGGGACGATCTTCAATGTGATGCGAATTCCCTGAATGGAGTGTGCAAGAAAGTGGCGAAATATTAGATTTGAATAAATGAAATGACAATGAAATGTGATTGCTTTTCGTTTATTTGTTTTGTAGAAAAAAAAATAAAGACAAAGACGTCTTTGACCGTCAAAGAACGATCGAAAGAATCTCGATGTGCTTAGATTGAAATCAAAAATTGATAGACTTTCTTTAAAATGAAAGAAAATGTTCGCCAAAGTGTTTGCCGACTTTAAGACTTGAAAAAGTTAAAAGCATCTCAAGATCTGAAGAAGTTAAATACTATTTTTCTTTTTGTCTTCTGAAATGTTAAGATTATCAATAGAACATGACAAGGTTTGACAAGTTTTTATCTTTAAAAAATTTATCCAAAAATCGATATCTAAAGTCTCAGAGAACGGTAACAGCTTTGAGCATAAAGTAATCAAATTTCTGGCCATCCACACTGTTTTACCAATGCTAATGTCGGGTACGGCTTGCATGGCATTATTGACAATGAATGTTGGTATCAGCTTATAGCTAGTCTAAACCAAAAGTAGATCGATTCGAGGAAAATATGGACAAGATTACGGTTGTTTCGAGAAAAGGTGGCAGAATTCGAGAAGCCATAAGCCTAACGCCTAAATTTGCATTGATACAAAGCACTAGAACTTTAAAATATCTTTTTAAAACAACTCGTGTTTAGGTCTCCTTCATCCACACTCTCGTCGCCTTCATGTTTTATTGATGCTAATGTCGGGTACGGCTTGTATGGCATTATTGACAACGAATGTTGGTATCACGATCACTTGCATGGTCAACTCGACGGCAGTTGCTCTAGAAGCCGCTCATTCAGCTTATGAGTGAGATAAGGAAAGAATTTGAGTATCGATTACATTTAGCAACGAATCAGTCTTGTTGATGGAAGTGACAAGAGAGCACGAGCAATGTCATGCCGACACAGCGGCTTTAGTTGTCGACTATGGGGTGAGATGGTTGTAGAGAATAAACTTGAAAGATACCATAAAAAGCATCTCAAGCATCTCAAGCATCTCAAATCTCAAGATCTCAAGATCAAAGCATCTCAAGATCTGAAGAAGTTAAATACTATTTTTCTTTTTGTCTTCTGAAATGTTAAGATTATCAATAGAACATGACAAGGTTTGACAAGTTTTTATCTTTTAAAAATTCATCCAAAAATCGATTTAAAGTCTCAGAGAACGGTAACAGTTTTGAGCATAAAGTAATCAAATTTCTGGCCGTATTTCAAAAACTTACTCATAATTGCGCAATGATGATAATGATGATGATGTATTTGAGGGTTTTAATGGTTTCAAGGAGCTTTTTGAAGCTTTGCTTGATTTGCTGACCATAGAAAATGTTTGAAGAAGAGGAAAGGGGCTTAAAGAAAGAGAAAGAGCTGGGAATGTTCTCTCTCTCTCTCGTTTTCCTCCAATCTCTCCTCGAAAAAGGATCATCTTTTCCCTCTTTTCCCAATCCATTCTCCGCTTTCAAAACACCGCTTTTTGCAAAGGGAATATTTCTTTGTTTCACCACTCTTTTTCGTTTTTTTTTTTTATGGTGCAATTTATATTCGTATAGTATCCATTTCTTGAGCTGATTATTCATTTTTTGATTTCAATTTAAACCAAAAGAAAAGACTTTCTTTTGTAAAATTTAAAATAAACCAAATTGAATTATTACAATAAAAATTTATTATATTACTTTATGAATATACTTTTTTTTTTTTTTTTGAGTTACCTAAGTCTAAACTAAACTTCAGACCAATCCTCAAAGGCTGAGCTCAAACTCAAAATTCCTATTTATTCACTGATGAAATTTAGGTGTCGTAGCCGATCTTGAGATTCAGTTCATTCAAAAACTTACGCTCCTTTTCGCAGCTCTTCTTCTTTGTATTGTGATTTTGTAGTTTTTTTTTTTCTAGA